TATTGGATTTTATTGAAATTTAACTTAGCATATTAAAATAGAAAACAAATGAAAAAAAGTGTTTTAAATTAATCATATTTCACCATATTTCTGTTTTTGTTGTATTTTTAATCGAAAAAAATGCAACTTCGGTAAGCATAAGATACTTTAAAAATCATTAAAAATATATATATAACTCACCATAAAACTTTTAAACAGTTTGTACATGTATGTATATACACACACACACGTATAATTTGTGTGTATATGTATATATGTTTGTGTGTATATATATATACAGTGGTGTGAAAAAGTGTTGGCCCTCTTCCTGATTTCTTATTTTTTTGCATGTTTGTCACACTTTAATGTTTCAGATCATCAAACAAATTTAAATATTAGTAAAAGATAACACAAGTGAACACAACATGCAGTTTTTAAATGAAGGTTTTTATTATTAAGGGAAAACAAAATCCAAAACTACATGGCCCTGTGTGAAGAAGTGTTTGCCCCCCTGTTAAAACTGTGGTTTATCACACCTGAGTTCAATTTCTCTAGCCACACCCAGGCCTGATTACTGCCACACCTGTTCGCAATCAAGAAATCTCTTAAATAGGACCTGCCTGACAAAGTGAAGTAGACCAAAAGATCCTCAAAAGCTAGACATCATGCCGAGATCCAAAGAAATTCAGAAACAAATGAGAAAGAAAGTAATTGAGATCTATCAGTCTGGAAAAGGTTATAAAGCCATTTCTAAAGCTTTGGGACTCCAGCGAACCACAGTGAGAGCCATTATTCACAAATGGCAAAAACATGGAACAGTGGAGAACCTTCCCAGGAGTGGCCGGCCGACCAAAATTACCCCAAGAGCACAGCGACGACTCATCCAAGAGGTCACAAAAGACCCCACAACAACATCCAAAGAACTGCAGGCCTCACTTGCCTCAGTTAAGGTCAGTGTTCATGACTCCACCATAAGAAAGAGACTGGGCAAAAATGGTCTGCATGGCAGAGTTCCAAGACGAAAACCGCTGCTGAGCAAAAAGAACAAAGGCTCGTCTCAGTTTTGCCAGAAAACATCTTGATGATCCCCAAGACTTTTGGGAAAATACTCTGTGGACTGACGAGACAAAAGTTGAACTTTTTGGAAGGTGTGTGTCCCATTACGTCTGGCGTAAAAGTAACACTGCATTTCAGAAAAAGAACATCATACCAACAGTAAAATATGGTGGTGGTAGTGTGATGGTCTGGGGCTGTTTTGCTGCTTCAGGACCTGGAAGACTTGCTGTGATAAATGGAACCATGAATTCTGCTGTTTACCAAAAAATCCTGAAGGAGAATGTCCGGCCATCTGTTCGTGACCTCAAGCTGAAGCGAACTTGGGTTCTGCAGCAGGACAATGATCCAAAACACACCAGCAAGTCCACCTCTGAATGGCTGAAGAAAAACAAAATGAAGACTTTGGAGTGGCCTAGTCAAAGTCCTGACCTGAATCCTATTGAGATGCTGTGGCATGATCTTAAAAAGGCGGTTCATGCTCGAAAACTCTCCAATGTGGCTGAATTACAACAATTCTGCATAGATGAGTGGACCAAAATTCCTCCACAGCGCTGTAACAGACTCATTGCAAGTTATCGCAAACGCTTGATTGCAGTTGTTGCTGCTAAGGGTGGCCGAACCAGTTATTAGGTTTAGGGGGCAAACACTTTTTCACACAGGGCCATGTAGTTTTGGGTTTTGTTTTCCCTTAATAATAAAAACCTTCATTTAAAAACTGCATGTTGTGTTTACTTGTGTTATCTTTGACTAATATTTAAATTTGTTTGATGATCTGAAACATTAATGTGTGACAAACATGCAAAAAAATAAGAAATCAGGAAGGGGGCCAACACTTTTTCACACCACTGTATAAAATATATACACGTTTAAACCATCCAACCACAAGCATCCAAAATAGAGTGGCTTCCAAAAATCTGAGACTACATTGGAAAATCTAAGATTCAGAATGTATTTTAAACCAAGAAATAAAGTTAGTTGATTAATTCTTTGTTTTACTCTAAACGGCAGCTAATATCTCAGCTCCCACGAGCCCATCGCAATCTGTTCCGCTACCTGATGGCCTTCTTGAGAGAATTACTTAAACGCTCGATTGACAACAACCTGAACGCCAACCTCCTAGGTGAGTCTGACTTTCTCAAGTGCCAGCAGACTGCAAACATACAGGTGCGTTACTGTTTCATCTCTTCTTGTACCTTCTCCCCAGCTACTCTCTTCGCAAGCCTCCTCGTTCGGCCGCCTCCCAACCTTGCTAGCAAACAGACGTCACACGACCGTCAGAAATCCAGCGACTTCATACTGGGGTTCCTGATGGGAGGCGATGAAGACTGAGGAAGAGGAGCGCAGAACGAGGTGTCATGCCTTCTCTCAGAGGTGTTCAGGTGGAGCAAAAAGACACTTGAGGTGTGTTTGTGGCTGGTCTTCTGGGAGATATTTGGGCCGCCCTGCACTAAGATGGCTGACTGCCTCCGTGATGAAAGTTTGGCACTGTTGGATAAGTGCCTGTTTTGCACAGACACTGCCCATTGGTTACGTTTCGTTATTCTTCTGTTCCTGCTTCAGAGGAGAATAGGTGTCAGTTTATCTCTGTAGTATTAATAACTACACTTTAACCCTTACAAACCTTGACTGTAGCATCTGTAATGCTACAGAGAAACCCCACTTTCTCTGGTTTTGTCCTCTGGATCAGAGTGCTGTAATGCCAAATCCAATATTCCCGACCAGATTTGACTGAATGTGTTAGATGTGACTCATGGGCTCTCAAAAAAAAAAGACTTTGTTTCACTAAAGGAAAGCCATGTTGTGGAGATTGTACTGACTGCTGCTGCCCGGGTTAAACGCTCCGTCAGAGCACCATTTTCCATCTGTCTCATGCTCTATTCCTTTTCTCCTTCAAAAATGACCTTCACAGAGAATTGTTTCCTACAAGGTGACTTTGACAATCGACTACAACTTTTCGGAGTGGAGGAGAAGTCTGGACTATAATCTTTACTCAGTTCTATCTGAATCATGGTGAATCAGCCGGCATTGTCCGGTGTGGTGTGCACATGTTATATATGTTTTCCTGTCTCCTACACAGTTGTCCTCAGCATTGGGCATTTGGATGTCCTCCACAGATGAATATAAGTCTGTTATCTGTAAGAAACACGCTCTCTGGTCTCCTCCTCGGTCCCTTCTGATGGCACAACCACACCCATAATTATTAGTCACCTTGAATAATGGCAACGAACGGATGAGTTTGCCTTCATTAGATCTGGACTCTGGGTCTGAAACTTATTCTTTTGAGGTCTTACTCTTTTACAGCTCTGTTCTGGATCCTGTCGTGCTACAGAGACGTTAACATTTTAACTGATGTGCTCAGTGGGTCTTTTATCGTCTTTTATCTGTCATGTCTTGTAATGAAGTCGGAGTCGTGGTCCTTCTATTTATATATGTATGTTGAGTGTTATACTAACCCAGACTGGGATAATTTTGTGTACGTTTACAGTCTTTGTGTCCTTTGTTGGTGTTGTTTCATGTTACATTTACACGTTCTGTTTCCGTGTAGTGACATACCGGCATATGTTTATCTCTCTTGAATTCATAGTACACATTGGGAAATTCTAAGAATTCTGCTGGTTTTTAACTTCTTGTGCCAGTCAGTCTGGTTTAGTACTACAGTGTGTAAAGAGGAAGTCTCCTCGGTTGTACTCATATTATTCATCACCCCAATGCTAAAATATTATTGTAGCACAAACCACACAAGCTGTTTCTCCACAATGCGTGTGACATTGTTGCCTCCATTAGCAACATTTCCTCAAAATCTCACAGGAAATATTTTGTGTGAGTCTTGCAACTTGGAAAAAGAGTTGTAAGCAGTTTCTGACCAACTCGTTCTGCCTTCCCTTACTGTCAGAAAAAATGTGCAGAAATTGTAGTTTTATGCATATAGCTTGTGACAGTACCCTTAAAGGGGCAACTTTGTACCTTATCTACCCCGAAAAGGTACATATTAGTACCTATTATGTACCTTTTATGTACTACTGTGCACTTTTAGGGGTAAATAAGTTACAAAGATGTCCTTGAGGTACTGACCCAGTGACAAGCTGTTACAATTTCTGCACATTTTTCCTGAGTGTTGAAAACTCTAAGTAGTGATGTGCTGTGAATGATATTGGCTGTGGTTTGAAGTCATCCAATGATCTCAGATGCCTAAATCTCTTCACATCCTCTGCCATGTTTACAAGCCCCCTGTGTCTGAGCTTTCTGTTGGGCTTATTTTTTTCTAATTTCTGCTTTGGAAAGGGCCACCATGGAGCTCGGCTGTCTTATTCAAACACTTATCATCTGAAATCATTATTTTCATTGCCAATAGATGATGTCTCTGGGAGGACCTCATTGCAGGAGACTGAATCAGAGGAACAGAAATGCAGATGGTCATTACACAGATTTCTGGTGTGCTGTGATCACCACCCTGTCTGTTTGTTTATTGTTGTGACCTGTCTTTCTATCCATTCAGTTTTTGTAATGACGTTTCTGGTACTTTGCAGATGGGTACTTGCACATACTTTGTTTTATTTGTAGGGAGGGGCCGGGCATCTAATTTATTCAATGAAATAAAGACATTATGATGATATTATTGGGCTTTTTGGAATAGTTTTTTTTTTGTTTACTGGTGCTTGCTAAGTCAATAGTCTGTAGTATTATTATTATTATTATTATTATTAATGCTCAAATAATAAGTAATACTAGTGCAACCTCTTCAAAGCTGAACTGTCATTGTCCCAGTATAACAGCTTTCTGAAGGAGTGGCCTCCAATCTCTAAATTGTTTCTGCTCCATGTGAAAGGTTTATCTCCTGACGCTGTTCCTCTAGTTAGTCCACCTTGTGTTCAGTGAGAGATCCCACAAGTGCTTGTGACATTCTCAGCACCGGCATCTATAAAGACCCCCTGTTGGTGCGGTTGTCATCTTTTCTTGCTGTCCTTCTGCTGTCATGGCCCTGCTGAGAGTGTCTTCCTACCGTAAGCTGTTTGAGGAGGAGCAGTGGAGCCAGGCTGCAGGACGCTGTGGAGTCCAGGCCCGCTTCACTGCCAGGTCAGTGCTTATAGATCTGAAAGCCCACACATATGCTGTTTTGAACCCTAGATTATGAACATATAGTAATCCGCATAGAATTGCTATTTTAGCATTTCAGAGCGTGTCTCCATATAAACTCACAGAGCAGGATTCAGTTTCATCTTCGTTCAAGTTGTTGTTGTTGTTATTATTATTATTATTAAATGTGACCGTTTTTTGAATTGATACATAATCTCAAAACTAAATAAGCTTTCCATTGATGTATAGTTTGTTAGGATATGACAATACGTTTTGATATATTTACGGTAGGAAATTTACAAAATATCTTCATGGAACATGATCTTTACTTAATATCCTAATGATTTTTGGCATGAAAGAAAAATAGATAATTTTGACCCATAAAATTTATTTTTGGCTATTGCTACAAATATACCCCAGCGACTTAAGACTGGTTTTGTGCTCCAGGGTCACATATGTAAAAGTTATGGGTTAATACATTTCTTTTTGAAAGAAGTCTCTTACATTCACCAATGCTGCATTTATTTAATAATAAAAAACAGCAATATTGTGAAATATTACAATGTAAATTTGTTTATGTATTTCAGAAAAATGTTGTTTATATATTAAATATATTTATTTATAATATAAATTATATGAATATAAACATAGACATGTAAATATTTTCAAAATATATACTGCATGTGTGTGTATTTATATATACATAATTAATATACACAGAACACACATATATTATGCAAACAAAAAATTTTATTTAGTATGGGATTAATCATTTGACAGCACTAATTTTAATATTGTAAATTGTAATTTATTTCTGTGATGGCAAAGCTGAATTGTATTGCTAAAAGCTGTATTGTAAACTACATAGGAATAAATTAAAAGAACATGTTTGTTTGGATATGATATTTACCTCCTGATTGTACCAGAATAATTAGATCATAACACTAGGGGATCTTATAAAACTATGGGAGGAAAATCGTTGTTTCTTCTACATTTTTTTTTATTTTTATACTGGCAACCAGGAATGCACATCCATCCAAAATCCTATACTGAATCATGTAAACAGTTACTTCACTCTTTCTTATTACTTTGAATTCTAAATAAACTACATAAACATGTAGCTCTTTTATGCTTCAGTATTTCCTCTTTTCCTTCAGCATTGTTTGCTTATGCTTGCATAGAAAATAAACAAGCCATTGCAGACATCGTAAAGCTTTCAGTGTGTTTGACAGGGGTGGAGTTTCAGCGCGTGAATGTCCCGAGCTGGATTTTGCTGCAGCTCGTGCCCTAAACATGGAGGGTGTGGCACGATTTGTCAATGAACGCTCTGTCATCGCTGCCCTCAACGATCGCCTGGCCGGCCTAATCGACGTGGTGAGCCATATGAAAATTTTCACATCATACACACCCAAGGTTCTGCTGGCTAACAACCAGCTGTGCTCATGCTGAATCTAATGGGTTCCCTGTGTGTGGCCCAATTATCATATTTCCATGATGTTTAATGGGGTCAGTCATTTGCCTGAGGGTGTGAGGAAAATCATATTAAGGCCATGAAGATGCTGCAGTCACAGTGTCCTCTACTGCGTGGTATAATATGATACAACAGTGTGAGCATAAGCAATTGCTCTTATACATGTCCTCTACTTTTGTGACCATTGAAGGTTCGGTGTCTAGAAGAGGAGAATGAATCTCTGGAGGCTGAGATTATTGAGCTGGAGGAAATGCTGGAGTCAGAACAGATCTCCACCACCACCGTCAGCATCAGTGGTCCTGTGGACTACAGTCTGGAGGCTGTGATAGAGAGGCTACGGAAAGAGAAGGTACCTCTCAGAAACTCCAGCCTGGGTGCTGCTGGATATTTATGCCTCACTTGATGAAATTAAATTGATAAGTCGTGCGTTTTCTCCTCAAATGTCATAGTTTCTTTAACACATGATCTATTTTATTGGTTCTTTCATTGCTGCTGGCCTATCGTTTCCCTTAGGAGGAGATTTTATGCAACACGGAGGAGCTGAAGGGTGAGCTGCGGCGTCTGCAGATGAAATACGATCAGGCGGTTGAGCACAAGAGACTCATCCAGCAAGAGCGAGAAGATGTTTCTGTGGTAATGCCATGAATACTGCAGATGTTATTTGATATGTGGTGTATATACAGGCCCCAAATGTATTTGGACACTTTCGCCACATTTAACGTTGAATTTTACTGGTTTTGATGCATTATAATATCAAACCAACTCTTTGAAGAAATGATGCATGGTCTTTTCTCAGAACTAACATTTTTACTTTCACTTTTCTTGTTATTTTTGCTGTTTAATTTTAGATCAACTGCTCCAAGATAATTTTTAGTGGATGTTTCAGTTTCCCATTTCACACAGAATAAATCACTAGAGAAAAAATATATATAGTATATTTTACTCTATGGACACATTAACTATGGACAAGTTTGACAAACACAACATATCCAGTACTGTTTTATTTTTATTTACTACTACTATTATTACTATTACTATAATTATTAGCATTTTAATTTTAGATTAAGTTTTAGTAATTTTGTTTTATATTTCTATTTACCTTTTAACTTATTTTTATCTCAGTTTTTGTCATTTTAGTACTTTATTTATTTATTTATTTTTGTTATCTTATGTTTTTTTTTTTAAGTTTAAGCTTTTTATTTAATATTTTATTTTATTTTAGTTCAGTTTTTTTATTTTAAATAGTTTTAGTTTAAGTTAACAATAACAACACCGATCCAATCAAAATACCCACATACATCTGGTCTTAATTATAAAAGTTTATCAGGTGTTGTATTATATAAAGAGTTTCTCAAGTTTAAAATAAATGTCACATGCCTGATTTGATATTGTAATGTCTAATGCAATCAAATTCATACATTAAGTGTGGCTTAAGTGTCCAAATACTTTTTGGATGCCACTTTGCACTTTTGAACAATAAGATGTAATTTAACCTTTTTTTTACATTTTTATCCAAAGCAACTTAATAAAAAAAATGCACTTCTTGCAGTAACCTTAATCACTATGCCACACCCTTCCCACCAGATTCAAATCTATGCATTAATACACCAGGATACAGGCTTTTTAATTAACTTTTGCGAAGTTCTACACTTTCCCCACCACTAGATGGCAGTGTTAGTCTGTGCTCTGGGTGGGGTGGGGTGTTCTGACTCCAGTGGAGGTGTGTGAAAGTCCCTGGAGTGGCACAGCACAGCTGCTGCTCCCAGATCCGCTCTGGAGAGTCCTGATAACTGGCCTTGCTGACTCCCGGCCAGCGGCCACTCTGAAACCCGAGCTGCTTTCTGTAGAAACCACTCCATCACCCCACAGATGTCAGAGCACATCTCCAGTAAAAGAGCAGATGTGGGAAAGCTTTCACCATGCCTAATAACTCATTCAGCGCTAACAACCAGCTGTGCTCATGCTGAATCTAATGGGTTCCCTGTGTGTGGCCCAATTATCATATTTCCATGATGTTTAATGGGGTCAGTCATTTGCCTGAGGGTGTGAGGAAAATCATATTAAGGCCATGAAGATGCTGCAGTCACAGTGTCCTCTACTGCGTGGTATAATATGATACAACAGTGTGAGCATAAGCAATTGCTCTTATACATGTCCTCTACTTTTGTGACCATTGAAGGTTCGGTGTCTAGAAGAGGAGAATGAATCTCTGGAGGCTGAGATTATTGAGCTGGAGGAAATGCTGGAGTCAGAACAGATCTCCACCACCACCGTCAGCATCAGTGGTCCTGTGGACTACAGTCTGGAGGCTGTGATAGAGAGGCTACGGAAAGAGAAGGTACCTCTCAGAAACTCCAGCCTGGGTGCTGCTGGATATTTATGCCTCACTTGATGAAATTAAATTGATAAGTCGTGCGTTTTCTCCTCAAATGTCATAGTTTCTTTAACACATGATCTATTTTATTGGTTCTTTCATTGCTGCTGGCCTGTTGTTTCCCTCAGGAGGAGATTTTATGCAACACAGAAGAGCTGAAGGGTGAACTGTGGCGTCTGCAGATGAAATACGATCAGGTGGTTGAGCACAAGAGATTCATCCAGCAAGAACAAGATGCTGTTTCTGTGGTAATGCCATGAATACTGCAGATGTTATTTTCTATGCAGTGTATATACAGGCCCCAAAATGTATTTGGACATTTCAGCCACACTTAAAGTTGAATTTCACAGCTTTTGATAAATTATAACAATACCAAACCCACTCTTTAAAGAAATGAACCTTTTTTATTTTCACTTCTCCTGTTATTTTTGCTATTTTTGCTATACTTTACATTACTCTGTGGACATATTAACTATGGACAAGTCTGACAAACACAAAACACTCAGTACTGTTTTTATTTTAGTTTTATTTACTATTATTATAATTATTATTATTATTGGCATTTTAATTTTAGTTTGTTTTAGTAAATTTGTTGAGCATTTGTCATTTTTTAAATATATATATTTCTATTTACCTTTAACTTATTTTTATCTCAGATTTAGTACTTTTAGTACTTCAACTTATTTCTTAAGTTTTTTTTTTCATTTAATATTCAATTTTATTTATAGTTCAGTTACCAAAAACGGTTTTAAAAAGTTTGCGTTTTAGTTAGTTAACAATACAAACACTGATTCAATCAAAATATCCACATACATTTTGTCTTAATTATGAAAGTTTATCAGGTGTTTTATGTCTAATGCAATCAAATTCATATATTAATTGTGGCTTAATTGTCCAAATACCTTTTGGATGCCACTGTGCAATTTTAAACAGGAAGTCATTTAAGGGTTCTTTTTTTTTAATCCAAAGCAACTTGATACAGAAAAATGCACTTCTTGCAGGGTAGGAACACTTCTTGCAGTAACCTTAATCACTACCTCACACCTTCCCACCAGATACAAATCTATGCATTTATACGCCAGAATATAGGCTTTTAAATGAACTTTTGCAAAGTTCTACACTTTCCCCACCACTAGATGGCAGTGTTAGCCTGTGCAGTGGGTGGGGTGGGGTTGGGTGTTCTGACGTTGGTGGAGGTGTGTGAAAGTCTGGAGTGGCACAGTACAGCTGCTGCTTCCAGATCCGCTCTGGAGAGTCCTGATTACAGACCTCGCTGACTCTCGGCCAGTGGCCGCTCTGAAACCCGAGCTGCTTTGTGTAGAAACCACTCCGTCACCCCACAGATGTCAGAGCACATCTCCAGTAAAAGAGCAGATGTGGGAAAGCTTTCACCATGCCTAATAATTCACTCATTCAGCCTCTCATATCTCCTAGATGCAACAGAGCAGGGCTTAGCTCTCCGGCTGGGCTGAGAGGAGAAAGGAGGTTTGGAGGGAAAGAATAAAACAGGAAGAGAACCAAAGAGGTAGTCACTAGGATAATATAGAAGTGGGGTTGCAGCTGTATAAATAATATACTTTAGAGACATAAGCGTGCGTTTTTGTATCTTCACTAGTTTGAATTCACTAATCTGGAGTTAACTGGCATTTTAAAGAAGCGATGATAATGATTAAATGAAAAGAAAATGGCATGAGAAAGCATAATTTTAAGCAACTAGCTGTAATGCGTCCACCATAGTGTAATTTAGCCCTTCGGCAATGTGGAATAGAGCAAGCAAATCGGCATCGAAACGCTGTCTAGACTCTCCAGTACTGGGCTTGTGTTCGTGCTGAGATAACGGGAACAGCGGCCACTGTGCCAATTCTAGGCTCCAGGGAAGCGTGTGTGTGCAATGCGCTTCCTCTGCCGCCCAGACCCACCGTCACACTGCAGCATTTGCATGCAAATGCTTTCATTCTGAGTAATTGAATTCATCGCCAATTAATCAGGCACTTAAGATACCCAGATGAGCCGAATAAAGCGCAGCTTTGTCTGAACGTTGGATGTCGGGCTGCGTATGTGGATCTCTTCTTCCCTGCATTGCAGTCTTTGCTGGGGCAAAACCCTGTGGCACTGATGATGCGCACGATAGAAGATGTTGAGGGGTAAGTGCTTGGTGTTTGAATTGACCTTTATTTCCGTTGCCCTGCTCAGGAGGTGGATGCAATTACCACTGACTGCCTGGCCCTTCGAGAGCAAGTGGCCATCTATGAGGAGCAGCTGGCCACCATGGCGAGGCAGCACGAAACGGTAAGGCCATGCAGAATATTGCGTCAATAACACTTCTTCTTGTTACTTCTTAGTTGTAATCAGAAAAGGCACTTTTACCTTAGACCTCTGAATTCTTGGAATGGTCTTCTGGGGGTTTCGCCGTTTAAAGTGTCTCCTCTGATCGAAAGGGGAACAGGTTTTGCGGAATGGAGACTGACAGGAAACACGGTCCCTCAAAACATAAAATGAAAGAATACAGTATATGGGGAGTCTGCGGGTACTCAAGTGCTGGAAACAGAGAAGTATCCATTGACCTCCCTCTGGGACGTGCGGCATAACTCACAGTTCAGGCGCATGAAATTAAAACAGAAGTTCTTCTTGTTTTATTAACTGCTATTATTATCTTGATACATCTGCCGCTCTCTCATTATTCATGTTGAGGAGAACAAGCTGAGACTTGGACTCAATCTCCTTTTCATGAACACTTTATCAGGCTCAGATTAATGAACGGCTGCCCTTTCTCGCACTGGCAGATACTGTTACCTGAGGAGAAACCGAAAGTCATAATGTTGTTTTGTCCACAGAGGCTGGAGAAATTGTGTGAGCCCAGGACTCCGGATGAAGGTTCTCCTACTGTATCCCTGCAGTTCTCCTCCTTTGATATCACACCAGCCATCATGGACATCAAGGAGTACTATGGCACACTAGCTGAGAGCCTCAAGGTAAATTACACATAGAGACATAGACTCTGTCAATGACTATTGACACTGAGTACACGCTAAATTGACAGCTCTTCTAGCATATACACTGCTGTTCAAAAGTTTGGGTCAGGAAGTATTTTTTAAATAAATTTATTCAGCAAGGATGCACTATATTGATTAAAAGTTACAGTAAAGACAGTGAGAATGTTAATAAATGAATGCTGTTCTTTTGAACGTTTTAATTAAAGAATCCTGAAGAAAGTATCACGGTTTCCACAAAAATATTAAACAGCACAACTGTTTTCAACGATAATAATAAGAAAGGTGTCTTAGACACCAAATCAGCATTATTAGAAAGATTTATGAAAGATAAATTCACACACACACACACACACACACACGTGACACTGAATACTGGCTGCTGAAAATTCAGAGTTTATTAAATTTATTAAAATAGAAAACACTTATTTAAAGATGTAATAATATTTAACAATTTTTTACTGTATTTATGAGCAAATAAATGCTGCCTTGACTTCTTCAAAGAGACATATAAAAGACAATATTCAATTCAATTCAAGTTTATTTGTATAGCGCTTTTCACAATGCAAATCGTTGCAAAGCAGCTTTACATAAAATTTAAGTTTCTGCATTGTATTTAGTAATAGCTTATCAGTGGTGACTATCTCAAGTTGATGTCCATATGACAGAAATGTACGGTAAAAATCAAGCCGTTAGTTAATGTAATATACTAATATAATAATATACAAGATAATAAAAGTAAACAAAACCAGCGTTCCAGGGAGTTTAAAGGCCTAAATTTGAAGCTCATTATTTTTTGAAGCTCTTAAAGTCTTTAGTTTAAAAAAAATTATTATTTGAGCTGTAAAGTTGTCTAATATTTATATTGTCTTTATAATTTTTGCAGTGGGACTAATATTTTATTTTATTCTGTCAGTTATTTAATAATTATTTTCTGTGGTAATCAGCATTTTCACATTATGTCTGTTGAGATTTTATCAACTTGAAACATTCCTTTTAAAGGATTGGTTCACCAAATCGTGGCACAGAAAAGGAGAAATGTAGCATAATGCTCATGCTGCTCTTTTTCATTTTACGAAAGTGAATGGGGATGGACACTATCAAGCACTGCAAAAAGATCTAGAAGGATTAAAAAGCCCCATATGCCTTGCAAATGATGACAGAATCATCCTTTTGGTTGAACTAACCTCTTAACACACCTCATTGTGGCTGGTATGCTTGTTTTTTTCTTCCTCTTTCACACTTTACTTCAGGGGACAGTTTTGTTAGACAGAGAGCTCTGTCCACATCTAGCACAGAGCACTATTGTCCCCTCTGTGTCGTTTGAGGAGTGAGGGCTCTCTAAAGGTCATCCTACAGCACCAGTGCCCTTTAACCCCATTTGCCCCAAGAGTGGCTGCTCTCGACCAGGGTCGCGGCGGTAATCAGAGCTCTGGAGCCCTTCCCAGGTTTCTATGCAGAATGAGTCTGGAGAGGAGAAGAGAGCACTTCTACAAGAAGACACTGGAGAGCCTCTATAGGCTATTAGAGACTTCTAGTGTGTGTTTGTAAGATAAGCAGGCCAAGAACAACTCCTGCTCTTGTGCCAAAAGTTGTACATGCACAAAAACCAGCTCACGCATGCACAAACACATCCTTTACCACCCCTCTCTATTTTCATTTGCTCTGGTTTTCTATTCAGTGCTCTCTCTCAGGTGGTCTCGGAACCAAAAACTAGTGCTTTGTTTCATTAGCGCCGCACAAGGTCCAATTGTTTCGCTCACAATTGATATTGATTGGGATTTGAGGGGGACAGTAATTGGAGGCTGATTTTTGACTGGTTGCACCTGCTCACCTGATGGGCCTTCATTTGCTCTTCTTTCTTCTGGGAATAATCAGTGATTCATCTTCACTGTCTGCAGAACTTAATGGGTGGTAACTCTCTTCTTCAGAGATGGAAGAAACTTAAAGCTGTGAACCTTTCCTGCTTTTCAGTTTGAGTTCAGAGCCTCGAGCGCTGCCGCCATTGATGCCGCAGGAAAGGAGAAGGAGGAGCAGCTGGCTAAGTTGACTGGAGGGAAAGTGAAGGACGTCTCCAAAGAGACTGACGTGAATGTCCTCAAGAACTTGGTGAGTGAGTTTACCTTCAACGACACAACTCTGAACCATCAAAAGCCACTCCAGGGCTCCAGACTGCCACTAAAACGATCGCAAATTAGACAAAAAACAAAACCTTTGGACAATAATTTAAATTCTAGTCATCTTTGGTGGCAATCTACAAACCTTTGTTTTAGTTTAGGCAGATATCATCTCATTAGAGTGCACACCACTGTTTCCTACATGAAATAATGAACACCATCTGATTTATGATTCTGAAATGATTCTTATGAACCAGTACAGAATGGTCTTCAACTTGCATGTGAGTTAGCAGATTGAATCAAACTCACTTAATGAATCGATCAGGGCTGCGATTCCCAAAAGCATCGTAAGCCTAAGTTGATCGTAGCTCCATTGGTTTCAATGAGTCTACAATGTACTTAAGCTTACAATGCTTTTGGGAAATGCAGCCCAGAACTGTTACTGAGCTCACAAAAAACTGTTATTATTATTTGTTTCTTAGCGAACTGGGAACTATTTGTTGTAATGAAAAATATTTTAATTACAATGTAAAAAAAATACAACAAAAATAGTGTTGTTGTTATAAATTAAATATGCTAAAAGTGTCATTGATTGTTTAGTGTAGTACGATCCAATAATGTTGAATTAATTGACCAGGAAACTTTGTTTGGTAGTAATAATATTTCACCAGACAATTCATCAGACAAGTTGGCCGAAATGTCACTGTTTTTGAAGAAATAAAGTTAGATTTATATTTGTAGAATGAGTGTTGCACTTTTTCTAGAGATTAAATATAAATTCATTTTTATCATTTGATTATAATTACATTTTTATATTTTATACAAACAGGCAGAAATATTTGTACAAAGCAGAGACATTTATGTGTCACAAATACAGTCCGGATCAGTCAGGATTGAGTTACAGTGAAAGGTAACCAAATGCTGCTGACGAACCATTTTAACTATTCTGTAATTTGTAAAATAAAGTCATTTGGCTCTTAAATGTTACATTTTAGGAGACAGACTCCCTAGTGAGTCTGTTATTGTGCAAACAAAAACGAGCCTTCGAGGGATAGAGGTACTTGTCCATATTTGTCTTGCTGTTTTGTGCTCTTGTAATCTCTGTGGTCACAGAACAATAATTTAAGGGATTTGGCCCTACATTAAAATGCGGTTGTAACTCTCAATCCTGTGCGGTGTGTACATGGCCACAGCTTAACTCAAATGATTGACCTGAACACCCACCACCTCAACAGCTCAGCATCAGACGTGAGTTCCTGTGTCAGGCCTAATGCTGAAAATCAGCGTTTAGGAGAGCAGGCAAAAGCTAAGGAGTTTTTGTGGGGGATGGTGTTTCACAATGCAGTGTCCTCAGTCAGACTGACAGCTGAGGAATAAAGTAAGAGAACTCCTGCTGCCAGGAGTGTTTATTCTGAGAGATAGGACCAGGAGCTTGTGAGGAGTGTATCGTCTCTAACAGTGTTTATCTCGCTCACTGTCTTCCATTATGAACAATACATTTCACAGTCTGCCGACGCACTCTCTCCCCCAATCATAAACTTCATAAACTTCACACATTCCTGCAGTGCCTCGGGAGACAGCAAATTGCAGTGAGCCGTAGTAATAAAATCTCACCTGTCAGCCTCCCTCACCGACAGGAAGAGAAACTTTGGGTTGAAAAAAAAGGCAGGGAAGAAAAAGTGACAAAAGGGAAATCATTCAGGATTTATGTTTGAAATGATTAGGAGCCGTTCGCTGCTTCAGAAAATCGTTGGTCAGTCACAACTGACACCTTTACATTTAAGATAACAAACAGGGCGGTTTGGTTCTAATTATTGTGGTTGTGGTCGTAGCCCCTCTCTTAAAATAAACAGACCGTCTTCAAGCACACTGCTCACTCTCATAACACAGGATCCTGTTCCCTGATCAGTGATGGCCAGTCTTGCTTCCTCCTTTCATACTACATTCTCTCTGTATTTTCTGTCTTCATTTCTCTCCTATCTGTTGTGTTTCTTAGCTTGTGTCAGAAACCTTTGCAGGATGCCTTCCTACCTTGGAGGCACGTCTGAATCCAGTGTTTATATAACATCCTGTCTACTAAAATCCCTTCAACCGGTCATAGCATAGATGTCTTCTATATGATATCCAATTCCTTCTGTGCATTTCAGTGGTTGGCGGAAAGAATGATGACTTCTGTAGCCAATGGTCCCATTTCTGCTGGGAAATATGTATTGTAGTCAAGAAATATTCAGTATTTATGAAACTCACTTGAATTCATGCATGTTGTCTTAGAAGCCTATTTGAAGGGTCTGTGACAAATAAGAGTGTCCAGGATTAAGAAAAGGCAAATATCTTTTGAAATACTAATTTAAAACATGTGCTAATTTCTTAGAAATGTGCTCTATGTATGTATTAGTTTCATATGGATTTGAAAAACTTTTATTAATAAAATGATTATAAAAAAAATAAAATAGCAAGTAAAAATTAAAACGTATTAACACATTTTCCATACACCTTGAAGTGAGTGCACACATCTTAATCATTATTTTCAAAAATGTTTTCAGTGTATTTTTTGAAAAGTAAAAATGCTTTATTTTATTTCATTTTATTTTAACCTTTTACAAATATTATGAATTATTAATTCATAAATAGTAGCTTTTTGGAGGGTTGGACCACATGACATTTTACAACCTGAGCTAACCTTGCCTTGGTGTCAGATTAACTGATATTTTAAGATATGTATTGACCTTGGCATGTTTTTAATGAGGCTTTTTTCTTCATTATAATATCAGGATTTTTTTATTCCATGCCCCAGAAAATTATCATAATTCTAATTTAAAATAAAAAAATACTCATCATAGAAGAGCAGAATTCAAATCATTATATGGTCAAATTACATGTTTAATGTAGTTTGAAGTAAATTAATATATCAAGACAAAAATGAGAATTGTGCCACTGACCCACAGTTTTCTTAAAATGCTCTATTAATTTTTTTTTGACTGAGCAGCAGGCAGATGTCTTTGGTTTTGGACACATCCCTAATATACTTGTCGCCCTATCTCTCCTGCCATTAAGGAAGGATACTAGTGATCTTGTTGCTCTCTGAGACAGTTTGCCTAAACAAACTGTTGGTGGTGAAATCAGGTCTCGTTTAGCTGTACATTACAGCAGAGACATGGCTAGTTTTCTCTAGTGGGGGGGGGTTGCAGACCGCCTTACTCTCACTCAAGACCCAGACCAGAGTAACAACCATTTTCATCGGTTGACGTATCATCAGCTTGTTAATAACAGAGCTCGGAGCCTCCCATGATCTACCTGAAAGAGAAACGGAGCGTGCAATCTCCATCCATCTCTGACAGCTGACTGTTTAACTTACCTGATTACAGTAATTACTCACAGCAGGGCAGCTCGTGCACAGAGGTGTGGCTGACAGTTCTCTGCGTTGTGTTTGTTGATGGGTGAATATGCAACATGAAACGTCAACTGTTTTCAGACATGTTCTCACAATTGCTAGTTTAAGACCAAAAGAGCCATTAATTACAACATAATGTTATGTTAAGCTCAGCTCTGTGTTGTTATACATTGTGGATCTGCATCAGTTTATGTTTATGCACAGTGAAAGTCTTTGTTTGGACACTCGCATTAATTTTTTATTGAATTTTTTACCATTTCCCACATTGTAAAGTCATCAAAACTATGAAATTACACAAAGGGAGTTATGGAAATTATATAGTGATGATAAAAAGTTAAACAAATAAAACGTTCTTGTATTTTAGCTTTAAATTATCCACCCTTTGTCTAGATTATAGCTCTGCACACTCTGGTCAACTTCATGGGGTGGTTTTTAAAGAGTATTGATGGAACTCCCAATATGCTGGATGCTTGTAGGCTCTGGTGTAATATCTTGTCTCATCTTTTATTTATTTTATAAATTTTTAATAAATAAAAGTGCATGCATCAGTATATAATTTTAAGTATTTAGATCACAAGCCTTTAGATCACACGCATACATTCAGTCAGGTGTGTCCAAATCTTTACTGGTGCTGTATATGTGTGATTGTAGATTGCAGAGCTGCAGAAAGAGGTGGCAGAGCTGGAGAAGCGTGGAGACGAGTTGGAGGCTGAAATAGAAGCCAGGAAAGCCAAATACCTGGAGGAAATAGAGAAGCTGGAGGTACAAACGCTCACTGTTCATATTCTACTGCAGCAGTTCTCAGTATCTCACCACTGTGCTGTCTCTGTTCAGAATTACATTTGTCAGCTGGAGGAGGAGGAGGCTGATCTTCAGTTCCAGATGAAGGATCAGAGTGGGGACTATGAAGAACTGCTGAATCAGAAGATGAATCTAGACATAGAGATTGCTGCTTACAGGTGATACATGTTATGAGAGTCATTACTGGTGCTGTGTAAAGGCAAGCGTTGCTATTATTATAGCTCATACATTAACATGATACTCTATAACATTTAAAAGTTTGGGGTCAGTGGAATATTTAAATATTTTGGTAAAAAGTCTCATGCTCATCAAAGCTGCTTTTTATTTGATCAATAATATAGTAAAAAGTGAAATAGTCTAAAAGTGAAAGCTAAGAGTCAAATAATATAGCAGTTTAAAATAGCCGTTTTCTATCTTAATACATTTTAAAATGTAATTTATTCCTGTAACGCGAAGTTAAATTTTTAGCAGTTATTACTGCAGTCTTCAGTGTCTCATGATCCTTCTGAAATCATTCTAATATGCTGATTTGGTGATCAATAATTTTTTTTTATTGTTATCATTGTTGAAAACAATGTGCTGCCTAATATTTTTGTGGAAACCATGATATTTTTTCAGGATTCTTTGATGAATAGAAATGTTTAAAGAGCAGGGTTTTTTTTTTTATGGAAACTTTTTGTAACATCATAATGTCTTTATTCTAACTTTTGAAAAATATTAATATTTAAAATAAAAAAAATATATATATATAAAAAATACTGACCCTAAACCTTTGAACGGTTGTGTAAATCATTCAGCTTGTTGCAGAGAAGTGTGCTTTTAACATTAAAAGTAATTATTAAATAGCTATTACTGTTACAAGTGATCAGACTTAAGATTTTATCAAGTAGACCGTAAAACAGACAAATCAAAATATCATGTGATATTTGTCCCCCCCAGAGGAAAGTACTACTTCCAGTTTCCTTATAAAAAAGTCAAAGTCTGTTTTAACATGTTTTAAGTTTTTTTTTTTATTAGAATTTCCTCATCACAACAGAATAGATTGTTACAATGCATGTATACTTTCTAGAATATAATAATGTATAGTTTGATTAATATTCTTTATTATGAAAATGGTAAATATGAAAATGATAGAGCAAAGACAAAATAAATATATAAATAAAAACAATAAAATATAAAAACTAAAATAACCCATCTCTCTCTAATATATATATATATATATATATATATATTTATATTTTACAGTTTAAAGAATATATGTGTGTTGAATTATGTAATTGCACTGTAGGGTAAATGAGTGACACAATGCATGATGAAGACATACCTAAGAATAGTGCCCTCATTCCTGAGGCCAAGATGGGTCACAGGAAGCACATCCCCTTACAGTTGCAGAAACATGAAGTAATTTCCTGCTTTCCTTAACATGTTTTTTTTTCATGGCATCACCGGATTGGGAAGACTCCCCATCTCCACTGATGTATGTGGCATGACGCATCCACCATGTAACCTTAATCCTTTGAAATGCCCCTAAAATAGAGCTTCCTGCCCCTAGAGGTTTAGGAAGTGACCAGTTTACAAACAATAGCTCATTAAAATGGACAGAAAAAGTCGGTTTTGTCTTAGTCGATAGGCCAGGCTGCTTATATCACACCTCTGTGCCTTCTGGCCCTTGCAATAAGATATACTAATTTTTCTCAATATACTAGTTTCATATTACTGCTGCTTTCTCATCCTTGATGAATAAGAGATGAAGGCTTGGCTTGTATGTTCTTGCAGATTTTAGAGAGCTGTCTGCTCCACAAACCCCTAATGGCACAGTGCTGTCATCTCCATTGGCATTTGGCTTGTGAAAAATCCCAAATGTAGTTTTTGCCAGATGCCGGTTGTCGACGTGTCTCTCTGATGCCACATTCAGCATCATTATTAGTTTAAAATGTTATAGACTCTACACCTTTTATCCAAGCATCTGCATAGCCAGCAGTTGCTTATGATTATACTTAGTTTAGTGCTATATTGAACCCTGTGACAGTGAGATTGTGGTTGTAATAGTTGCCCTAACGCTTCACTAGTGCAGATGAAATTTAGATTTGACATTGCTCTTTCTAGGGCGTTCAGTATCAGATGCCTCAGGCTAACCTTTGGGTCAAATAAAAGCAGATTGAGTTTTTTTCTTTTCCTTCTGCAGGGGTTTGGTTGAAGAAGAAGAGGAGAGACTGAGCTGCCTGTAAGATGCAAGAAGAGGTGATGCTCTCCTCTGGACTGAAGCAGACACAAAGAAACACTAAAACCACATACAATTCAACCCTTAACAGCAAATCTCACAAATCAGGAAAGTAAAGAAAACAGCTGTCAGACACACTTAACCTTCTGAGCAGATGTAAACCTTCACTGACAGATGAACTTCAGGGAGTTTGTGCAAGCTCATTGATAACGGGTCAGTGGCAGGTAACCTCGGGTCTTCAAGAAACGCTGGATCTGTGCAGCAGTGGGAGTGTGTTGAGAGTGATGGGGGATTTTCAGCACTGGAATCTCCTATTGAAAGTTTCATAGTCCCTGTCACTGAGACACTTACACACCCTACTGTTGAAAAGTTTGGGGTCAGTAAGTTTTCTTTTTTTTATAGAAGCAGTACTTTTATCCAACAAGGATGCATTAAACAAAAGTGATGATAAAGACATTTATAATGTTACCAAAGACTTCTATTTCAAATAAATGCTGAACTTTCTATTAATCGAAGAATCCTAAAAAATACATAATTTCCCCCCCAAAATATTAAGCAACACAACTGTTTTCAACATTAATAATAAGAAATGTTTCTTGAGCATCAAATCAGCATATTGGAATGATTTCTGAAGGATCATGTGACACTGAAGACTGAAGTAATGATGCTGAAAATTCAGCTTTGCGATCACAGGAATAAATTACATTTTTAAGTATACTGAAAAAAAGTTACTTTAAATTGTAATAATATTTCAGTTACTGTTTTTTTTGTTTTGTTTTTTTTAATCAAATAAATGCAGACTTGGTGAGTGTAAGAGACTTCTTTTAAAAACATTAAAATAAATAAATCTTACCAACCCCAACCTTTTTAAATGTACACACATTTCCCTGTGCTCTGTTGAATCTTAACCTTTCCTGTACTGTCCAAACAATGTTTTAGAGCATTTACATGCACTTTAAAAGTTTCAGTCGGAATAAAAAATAATTTGTCTTATTAAAATGCTTTAGTCTGACCGAAATTGCACCGGCCTGGTTTTGTAGTTCGGACTTATGAGACTTAGATAATGAAATTGTTGCTTGATTTCATCCACCTTATATACACACTACCAGTGTATTTAATCCTTCAGATATTCAATTACGTATTGTGTTATGTATACATGGACAGAAAAGAAAATGTAGCTTGACTACCCAAAATTATGCAAAAAAAAAGTTGGATACAAACTTACCGACAGACACTAAGTTAGACAAGACAGCTAAAATTCATTGACTTGTTGGACATTTTGCCTGTCTCTTATCATCTGCAGCTTGTTTTAAATACTGAAAATACTGACTCTCTTCAATGCAACAACTTACAGCGTTTAAATAAATATTTGCCTTTGAAATCAATCAGTCTTTTTCCTCATCTGTCTGAACTCTAAGTTCAGTACATTTCACTTTATGGGAGTGTTTTGTGCTGACATGGACTTGAAAGAGACCACAATCGTCCTTCTGTCAGTCAAGTGCCATATCGTTTCACCACCTTTGAAGTCTTGAAATGGAGCGCTGTGGAGTTTTACCCAGCGAGCCCTTCAATCTTCATACTGACCCTCACTTGTAAGCGCCCTGTGATTAACCCTATCAGAGGCTTGTTATCTGTGCATTTAAGATGAAAAATGCAGCTAATAATGGATTAGATAAGATTATCCAGGACCCGTGAATTCCTGTTGAACTGAAGCCCATCCGTAAGGCCTGCGGTGCGGCTGAACTGACCTGTGCAGCCAAACTGACTCCTTTAATTCGGTGGATATGAAACATGGGCGGCAGGAGAGGAAGTCGCTCTGTCTTTGGGGCCCTTATTTTCACTGCTGAGGTACTTAGTCATTCTTGTTGCCCAAGGGCACCAGATCACCCTGAACCTCCCCCTCTTTAAATACACTCACCCACCCCAAAGCCTTCTGGGTGCTTGTGATGAAGTATGGGACCCTGGGCCTGGTCCGCTGGCCTGTGGGGATTTTGGTTTGCTTCTGGCCTTTCCTGAGGTTTGACAATGGAAGAGGGGAGGGGAGGATCTGACATCAGCAGGAGGGAGCAAAAGGTCATGTGGGGATATTTGGCAGGGCATATTTTACTCAATGCTCATTGTCTGTCTTTTTGTTTTGCATCTTTTTTTCCAGTTTGTTTCTGACTCTAATGTGATGAATATTGTGTTCTCATTACTCGCTAATTTGTTTACTGCGTGCTGATGTACCTCAAATTAAATTTGATCAGTTAAACATTTCTTAAATATGGGTAATGCATTTTTAAATCAATTTGCGCTACATTGTTAATTTCGTAGGGATGGTTTGTGAGTCATTTACAATTTCGTAATTTCAATTTTCTCAATTTGAAAAGTGTATCCAGGCTGAAAACAACTGATTAGAACAAAAACAACTGCTCATTAAAACAAGAACTGAATGATTTTGCTGATGATGGCAGGGTTGGACATGATGTATTGGTATGGGAGTTTCAGCCCTCATTTTTACCCCCCAGTGGACCCTTATGGGACGTTTGAGGGGCTATTAACCCCTTGTAGACCAGCAGTGACATTGAGAGGTCAGAGGCCGGTCTTCCTTTTAGCTTTCAGACCTTGACAACTTGGCATTATGGGTCAGTCATCAAAGCTGAGGTTTGGGTCAGCGGTCAGTGACACCCTTGGCCTTTTAACCCTGATGGCCTTGATGAGAAGTGAAAATGGAGGCAGAGACATCAACGGAGAGACATCTATGAATAACAAAGATTAAACGCCAGCTCTTAATCTTTACTAATACTAATGCTTATGGAAGTTTACACACCTGAGTCTGTTATTGCTACCCTCACATCCTGCCTGTGTGTAAGCATGAATACACTGACGTTAATAATAAGGCTTCGAGTGAGAATAATGGGGTCAATCGCACCCATGTCAGATAACAAAAATAAATTTAAAATAAGGAATTGAATTTTGCAAAAATTATACAAAGTGTTTTGAGGTATTTATTTATTTATTGTGATTTATTGCATCCAGAGTTTTAACATTTTATGTAGGAATTCACAATATTCTTAATAGTGATTGCCATTATTCTCATTACTGCAAATAGTAATATAATAAATAAATAATAATATTATAGTAATACAGTATTTTTTATCATACTACAGTGATAATATATACATATTTAATTAGAGGTAAATGAATGCATTATATTAATGTTTAATATATAGTATATATATTTAATACATAGTTTAATGTATCTTTTTGATTTTGGTGTGAAATTATACCAAAGGTTTTGTGAGATTTATCCAAAGAGTCAAATAATGTCATTTGCTAAGCAAGCAGCTTTCCACACATGGTACACATGGTACAGGGAAATTTCACATGAAAAATAGACATCCAACCTTGTATAAAGTAGTCACTGGCAATACCCTATGATATTTGAGCCAAACAGAACATGCTGTTTCAGTCCTGAAAAATTGGATTAGGTATTCGAGGTAATGTTCACTAGAGAGCAACACGTTTGATTCAATTCAGCGATCACCTCTTGATAGACACTCTTAGCCATTTTATCCCAACCTGACCGACTGAACAAATAAACAAAGTCCCTTTGAAAGAGAAAACTCATTTTTAAGCTTCACGTATGCTGTGCCTAGAAACGAGACCAAGCATGTTATTATAGCAAATAAACAAAGAGAGGGAGGGGGGGGAGAGTAAAGAAAGAAGTGAAAGTCAATTGAGAAAGTATTTCCATAATAAGAACCGAACAAATAATAAATTACAGAGGCCGCTCTCAGCTGCAGGGAATCGGCAAGATGTTGCCAGCCGAAGAAAGAAGGTGTCACTCTTTCACCCTCTCTACTAGGATGATGGAGAACGCCAAACAACATAATTCTAGCTCAAGGTTGTCTTCATTCTTTTGCATAGGTGTGAATTTTGTTTTTTTTGGTTCACATTTCACAAAGAATTTCATCATCCATGAAGTAACCTTGGTATGACAGTCTGTGTACTGTATATTTTCATGGTTATTGTGACATTTAAATTTAACTGGGATGTCGTAGGTTAATGATTTTCCACTCAGTGACTTTGTCAAGGTGCTGCTTTCGTGTTGCTAATGCATCAACATCACAGGATAGATTTAGAACCTGACGTTGGCAGGTTTTCATGTGTAAATTAGTTTCATTGTCACAACCAGTGTTGGGGAAAGTTACTTTTAAAAGTAATGCGTTACATTGGAAAAAAAAGTAACTTGCGTTACTTATTTGAAAACGTAACTCAGATATTCTCTTGTAAATTTAAAAGTAATGCATTACTTTACTAGTTACTTGAAAAAAGTAATCTGATTACGTAACTCGCGTTACTTGTAATACGTTACCCCCAACACTGGTCACAACCATCTTTTTGTCAGTTAAGTCCCATTCGCATCAAGATTGATAACTATACTAGTGCGACCGCACCAACTGATGATAATATTCTATGTATTATAAGCACACGCTGCAGTCATGTTTTCTTTAAATGCTCAAGCTCTGGATTTCTGATTGACTGACATTCATCAGCTAGGAAAAAAATTCTAAAAATGATTCCAACATTGGTCTTCCAGTGTGGTTTTCCGTCCTTAATGAACGGCCTTAACGCCACAATAAGCAAGGCTTAGTATATAGTATGTATTATATACATAGGCATGTTTACCCATGATGCTCTGCTTTGTGTCATACTTAAAAATGTTGTCATCCTTTTAGCTTCATATGCCATTCTAGCCAGTCTCATCATTCCATTGTCCTATGATGAATATAAATGTATATACAGTGTACATAAAACATTCTCATTCTGTGTTATGTTAAAATAAACTGTTTCTTGTAGCATCTGCTTTTATCTTCACAGCAATTATTAGTATTTATATGGAGTGAAAAGCAGGATATGAGTTGTATAAATCCCTAAAAATGGGTTTGCATGCTGCTTACTTCATCCTTCGAAGCCATTTCCTTTCTTTCGTATCACTGAGTTTGATACAGCATTAGCCTGAAGGTATGACTGCTGCTGTATCTTAAACAGACTCTGAAATGATTTTCCACTAGTTACTCATTCATCTTACTCCATATACTGGTCTGGTTCCTCTCAGAGCTGACAGGTCGAGCAGGTAACCAGAAGGCAGTTGTAGTTTGTACTGACTAGAGTGTTAGTATTCAGTTTGGCAGCTGAAGCTGGCATGAGTTGGCACCCCTCTACTCTTAGTAGATAATGTTGCCAGACATAGGACACATCTTTTATACTAAAGAGATTATGGTAGGCATTATATCCCCTTTTATCAGAGTAAAGCTGCAGGATAATGTTCCTAAGGAACTTTAACAACATATGGAGCTTATAGTGATTACCAACAGATGAAAATTTACTTACCCTCAACCTCTGAGGTTTATGCAATAAGCCATATGGTTTGTAAATA